ATTTCAAGGGAACATATTGTTCCATGTAATATATTTGAGAAATTCAAAATTTTTTTTGACAGAGTTAGAGAGAGAGAGAGAGAGAGAGAGAGAGAGAAAGGTCTTCCTTCTGTTGGTTCACCCCCCAAATAGCCACCACGGCTGGCACACTGCACCAATCTGAAGCCAAGAGCCAGGTGCCTCCTCCTGGTCTCCCATGCAGGTGCAGGTCCCAAGGACTTGGGCCATCCTCCACTGCCTTCCTGGGCCACAGCAGAGAGCTGGACTGGAAGAGGAGCAACCAGGACAGAACTGGAACCCCAACCAGGACTAGAACCCAGAGTGCCGGTGCTGCAGGCAGAGGATTAGCCTAGTGAGCCACGGTGCCAACCCAAAATGTTTTTAAATTGAATTAAATCTGACTAGTTCTATTTCCATTTTACATAAATTATTCCTATTCAAGAAGGACCTGACATGCAGAAGAAAAAATCAAACTGGCAACTATTTAAATCAATAGTACAGTGTAGAGAAAATTTTATAACAGAAACACTCAAAAGTATCATGTTCATGACAAAGTATTCAACAAGATGAACCCATGAAAGAAAAAAAATTATAAAATTCACAGTTTGTAGCACAACCATTTGGGAATTGGAGTGCATCACAATAAAAGGCAGATGCTGAACTGAGGGAACTGACAGAAGAGAAACTCATTCATTTTGTGCATTTTACCAGAGGACACTTTCCTATTTACACATAGATCAAGGAAGTCAAAGTTACAGCTTTAATTAGGGTGTTTTGGATGAAATTTCAGGCTACAAAGACAACCAAAGAATGGGAGAAAAGGAAAATAGGCCCTGGAATAAAGAAAATCAAAGAACTTAAGTCCCTAAATTTGGATATAAAACACTACAGTACACTATATGGGACACTTCAGATAAAAAAAAAAAAAAAGCAATAAAAAAGCAGTCACTAGAAGCTGAAGGAAATAGAGTTACCTAGTGACCATTGTAAGGAATACACTTTAGAATTTAAATCCAGCCAACTAACTGCCTTGTAAAATAGAAATAATTTTTCTGAAGAATATGAGTATCCACAATGTCTGCAACACATGGTTTACAATATTGATGATAAAATTCAGAATCACTATTCATGTAAAGAAAGAAAAAATTTAGTCCTACTCAAGGGAAAGAAAATCAGTTGAAGAAAAGGCCAACATAAGTCAGATTTTATAAGTAGCAGACAAGATGACTAAACATTTTCCAAATCTCTTCCAGTACTTAAAGGATGACATAAAAGTAATATCAAGACTTTTTTTTTTTTTTTTTTTTTTTTTTTTTTTTTTTTTACAGGCAGAGTGGACAGTGAGAGAGAGACAGAGAGAAAGGTCTTCCTTTTTGCTGCTGGTTCACCCTCCAATGGCGCCGCGGCTGATGCGCTGCAGCCGGTGCCTGATCTGATGGCAGGAGCCAGGTACTTATCCTGGTCTCCCATGGGGGTGCAGGGCCCAAGTACTTGGGCCATCCTCCACTGCACTCCCGGGCCATAGCAGAGAGCTGGCCTGGAAGAGGGGCAACCGGGACTGTCGCGTCCCTCGACCAGCAAGGAAGACACGACCCGAACTCTTCTTCTAGCAGTTTATTCAGGAACCTCTTTCAAACTTCTACTACCGCACCCTTTCCTCTCCCCTCCCTCTTATAGCCATCAGCGCACCAATCAAAAGCAGCCAAGTGGCAAGCATTGATTGGTACAGCAATGCGGAAGCTGGAAGGGAGCTCAGCCATCTCCTTATTAGGAGATGTTTGTTTCTCGCCAGTCCTTCCGGGGGAAAGGAGCTGGCGCCATCTTTAGGGCGCCGTGCAATGGCTCCCCACAGTTCCCCCTTTTTGTTTTAGAACCAGGCATCTAAGGATTACAGGAGAAGGTAGGGGTCTGTCCCCCACTGCCAGGCATCCACCTGGAACAGCATCCTTTTCGCGGGGGTGGGATCTGGGATGCCAACCCACATGCAGACAGACTTGCCTTCCAGAGAATGTAATGGCTCGTTCTCTCTGCAGTGCTTTGCCTCGCACCCTGCACCCATGCCTAGCATTCAAGGAAGGCCAGCCATGCTTGCGGCGATTGTCCAGCCTCAAGGGCATAAAAGGCTTGAGCTATCATGGCCAATTCCCGCCAATGAGCTGTCCTCATCCTGCACAAACACCACAGGCAAAATAACACAACAAGTAACAGCAACCCCGTCAAAGCTCCAAGTCCCGCCCACTCCTTCAGGCTGGAGACAGCTGGATCTGGGATGACAGTCCAGATGCGAAGGAGACATCCACACGCGTGGAGTTGATGGTGACCACGGCAAGGCGCAGTTGCTCCAAGGTGTAGTCAAATTCCGTGGACCAATTTGGCATCGGCTTTGGGAATACTGATAGAATCCCCATCTCTGCTCCGCCAGTGTCTGCTGCATTTGAGGCAGAAGTATCAAAAGCAACAGCAGGATTCTCCTCGTGGCAGACCCGCCTGACCGCTCACTCCGGAACCCACACCAGGTCATGTTGATCCTGTGGAAAAACACAAACAGCACCTCGTGCCCATGCCAGCACGGGATCAGGGCCACGCCACTGGCCCGTCAAGAGATCTTTCCATTTTACCAACCCTCTACTTGGGTTTCCTTGTTGCTGATGCCTGTCCGCGGCTGAGTGCCCATGCACATCCAAATTTAAAAAATTAATTGTAAATAAGACTAAGGCAATTCTCTCTCTCGGGGTGTGGCTATAGCCAACTCCCCCTTTTTGTTTTAAAAGATATTCTTTCAGTGTGTGGTGTGCTCGCTCAATTATGCCCTGGCCCTGAGGATTGTATGGCAATCCATGGACAAGTTGAACCTCCATTTTTTGGCAATAGGTGGTAAAGGTTTGAGATGTATAGGCCGGGCCATTATCAGTTTTTAGCACCTGGGGTTTCCCCCAGGCGGCCCATGCATCCAGACAATGAGCAATCACCTCATGTGTAGATTCACCACTGAGGGGAGAGGCATACATAATGCCTGAGCATGTGTCCACTGAGACATGAACATATTTCAATTTCCCAAATTCCGATACATGGGTCACATCCATCTGCCATACTCTCCCAGGCAGTAACCCTCTAGGGTTTACGCCAACACTAGGTTGCGCACGAGTAACAGCACAGTCAGCACAATCAAGTACAATCTGTCTGGCATCTGCACGGGAAAGATGAAATTTCTGCTGCAAAGTGCGCACGTTGACATGAAAAGATTGATGGAAAGCTTTAGCAGCCTCTGCAGAAGTAGTAAAAAAGATGAATTCCTGTCTAGTACACAGGTCTACTCGCGCATTGCCTTCACATAAAGGACCAGGCATGCCTGTGTGGGCTCTAATATGCTGAGCAAAAAAGGGATTTTTCTGTGACCAAAGCAACTGCTGGGCTATATGTAATAGGGATGCAATTGGGCTAGAAGGTTTAATCGGTCCTGCGGTTTCCAATATCTTTAATGCGTTCACCACATATAAGGAATCTGACAACAAATTAAAGGCAAAAGAGCACTGCTTAAGGACCTCAATAACTATTTTTAACTCCACAACTTGAGGTGAGCCTGGCTGAAACTGATGAAATACCGGGTCATTACCCTCTACCATATAAACCCCACAGCCTGTTTTTGACCCATCCGTAAATATATTTGGAGCACCTAGTAATGGCTCAGCGGCTGTAATTTTGGAAATACTACCGGATGTTCTTTAAAGAATTGTAACAATGGACTTTTTGGTAAATGATTGTCTATAAAGCCTGGGAACCCACAGCGAAACACTGCCCAATCATCTAAAAGAGCACATAGGACGTTGACCTTGTTTGGCATCATAAGGAACAATCACTTCACACGGCAATTTTCCAAAATATTGTAAACATTGTTGCAAACCCTCCAGTGCTAGCTTTGCCACCGCTGCTGGATAATACTCAATAGACTTGGCTGGAGAGCTCCTTGGATGTATCCATAAAAGCGGACCTTCCTGCCATACTAGCCCTGTAGGTTGGCTAAGCGTTGGGAGAATGCATAATGACAATGGCAGATTTTCATTCATTCTGCATAAGAATGCCTCCTGTAATTTCTTTTCTACCTTCTCTAGGGCCTCCCTGGCCTCCGGAGTTAAGCACCGCGGTGAATCCAACGCCGAATCACCATGCAAAATGACATAAAGTGGCTTAAGTTCATAATTGGGAAGATTCAAATAACCCCTAACCCAATTTATATCTCCTAATAATCTCTGAAAATCATTTAAAGTCTTTAAACTATCTTTGCGCAATTCCACCTTTTGAGGAACAATTTGAGTACTAGTTATGCGGGATCCCAGATAAGTTGCAATGCTTCCTTTTTGAACCTTTTCAGGGGCAATAAATAACTTCTTACTTTCTAACAACTGAATCAAATATGCAAAGCCATCATCTAATACGAATTCGTCTTTTGCTGCTAAGAGGATGTCATCCATGTAATGGATGCATTTTAAGGAAGAAAATCTCTTACGTAAAGGCCCAATCGCTTGACCCATGAATAGCTGACACATTGTGGGGCTGTTAGCCATGCCCTGCGGAAGCACAACCCATTCATACCTCTGGTCAGGCTGCTCATGATTGCACGCCGGCAAGGTAAAGGCAAACCTTTCACAATCCTTTGTATGTAGGGGTATGGAGAAGAAACAGTCTTAATATCTATTATTATTATGGGCCATCCCTGTGGAAGTGTAGATAGAAGAGGCAGCCCACGTTGCACAGGCCCCATGACCTGCATCTGCATATAATAGCTCTCAAGTCATGTAGCAACCGCCACTTCCCTGATTTCTTTTTTATTACAAAAATAGGAGTATTCCAAGGCGATACAGAGGGTCTAATGTGTCCTAAATTCAATTGTTCTTGAATCAATTGCTGCGCCGCGACCAATTTGTCTGAGGACAGAGGCCACTGAGGAACCCACACTGGGTCCTCGTGCTTCCAAGTAATGGGAATACCTTCCTCAGCGGCCCCTATGAAAAACCCAGCCCTTGGCGAGGAGGCCTCTGCACTACTTCAGTGGGCTCATTTCTTCCTTGTAAGAATTTTCCTATTCCATAATTTGGATGGTGTCCCATATCCTTCATCAATTTTTGAGAAACACGGGAGTATTCATTACTTAATTTATAGTTCATGTCTTTCAAAAGGTCTCGGCCCCATAAAGAGATAGGTAAATCCAAAACATAAGGTTGCACCATGCCTGAATGTCCCTCTGCATCCTCCCAGCGCAGCATTACTGCACTCATCTCAGGAGTTTCTGAATATCCCAGTCCCCGAAGGGATTGTGAGGATGCCTGCTTAGGCCACTTTGGAGGCCAATCCTTGGAGGCGATGATACTACGGTCTGCACCTGTGTCTAGTAGGCCAAGAATGTCCTTTCCATTTATTTTTATCTTTAAGGTTGGTCTCTGGTCTAGTTCTAAAGACAAGAAGGTACAATCTACGCCTGTGGATCCAAAGCCTTCACTTCCTCGTTGTTTCTTTGATGCACTGAACTGCAAATGCTTGCTAGGAAGGATTACAAGTTGTGCAATCCTATCTCCTGGATTAATAGCTGTTATACCTCTAGGGGACTCAACCATGATTTTCACCATGCCAGTATAATCCGAATCTATGACTCCTGGATGAATTATGAGACCTTTCAAGGTAGAGGATGAACGTCCCAACAACAATCCCACTGTCCCTTCCTCTAGGGGTCCCTGAAAGTCTGACTCAATGGCTTGCACTCCCATTTTTTGGTGTCAGTATGAGTCTGGTGGTGGCACAGAGGTCCAGGCCTGCGGAGCCTGCAGTGGCTCTCCGTGGTCTCTGGGATGTCTGAAGCTGGGCCACTGACTTTGCCTCCCCTGCTGCTGGTCCTGATGGGCGCCCTGATGCTGACTCTCGAATGCCCATATATTTGCGGGCCCTGGGGACGAGGGCCCCCGCTGCCCGTTTTTGGACGCGCCCCACCATTGCCAGAAGCAAGGACGTTGCCGTCAATGTCCTTTACCGAGCAGCATTCGTTGGCCCAGTGCTTTCCCTTCCTGCATTTTGGACAAATTCCTGGTCCTTCCTGTCTTTGTTCTTTGCCTCTTCCCCTTTGCGAACATTGCCGCTTCATATGTCCCATTTTTCCACAGCTGAAACATGCTCCAGCGTTCCCTGATCCCCTATTGCCCTTCGTGATTTGAAGGACTGCTGCAGCGAGGCCAGTGTTGGATAGCGGCCCTCCTATTTCCCTGCATTGTTTATCCATACCTGAAGCCCTTTGCTCTCCATGGTGTTATAGCGGCTCTGCATTCCTTAGTGCACTGCTCAAAAACCAACTGTTCTATCAGCGGCATGGCGCGATCTGGATCTCCAAAAATCCTACCCGCAGCTTCCACCATGCGCGCTGCAAAGTCTGAAAATGGCTCGGTGGGTCCCTGTGTAATCTTTGTCAAATTCCCACTTACCTCTCCTCTGTTGGGTATAGACTTCCAAGCCTTGATGGCTATCTTGTTAACTTGTTCATACACTGCATGTGGGTAACCTGTCTGCTGGTTAGCGAATCTCCCTATGCCTAGCAGCATATCTCTGTCCCAATGCTGATTCCCTGCCGCTGCATTTTCTGCCGCTTGTTCATTAGCAAAGTCAATCAGGAAAGCTCTGAAGTCTAAGTATTGTCCTGGTGACAATGCGGCACGAGCCAACCCGCTCCAGTCATTGGAGTCATGCAGTATCTTTGAAGATTTTCTACTTGAGCCAGCGTGAAAGAGCCGCTGATGCCATAGGCTCTTACTGACTCCGCTAGTGATTTGATTATCTTTATGTCGAGGGGTTCCTCGTACCTCTGCCCTTGCGGATCTTGGAAGACAGGATAGGCACTTAACAACTCCGCACCAACCTGTTTCCAGACTCCCGGACAGAAAGTCCTGCCCTCTTTCTTGCACGGATAGAGGCTCATACTGAGGAGGAGAGGCTTCAGGCTCCTCCCCTAAGTTCCCCTGGAAAGTACCATGCTTAAGTTCCTTTTTTCCTTTTAATTGCAGCTTCCTCATTTGCCGATTTAATTCCCGTACTTGCTTTATATCAGACTCTTTGTTATCGCCACACTCTTCAGACTCACTGCTGCTTTCTGAGCTACTTTCTGCACTAGAACTACTTACTAAGGAGGGGCTGCGCAACTCGGAAAGATCAGGGTACAGTTTTTTCCTAGTTCTTTTCCGACTCTCCTTCAAAGTTTCCCTTTTTCACCTGGCAGCTCTCTCGGAGCGCTCTTCCTGAAGCTCCTCCAAGGCAGCTTGACCGCTCAGAATAGCTTCACTACACTGCTCATCCTTGAGGCATGCTCGCACTAATTTCCATATTGGTCTCACTCCCCCTTCAAGATTACCCTGTTCGAATGCAAAATCCAAATCCCCTGCCTAGTTTGTCCCATGAAGGGATAGTAAGGCGTCCCGAAACCCCATACCAGGGTGCAATGGTATCGCAGTTACGTAAAAACCTATGCAATGTACTAGGCTTAAGTTTCAAACCGTTTTCCTGAAGCAGCGCATTCAGCGCCAGAAAATTGGATGGGGCTGTGAATTACCCATCATCAAAAATTGCGCTCTTTCCCTGGCCATGGGTCAGAGCTCCTTCTGCTTTTGGTCGCAGAACTTCCTCTGCTTTAATCGCAGAACTACCCTCCCGCTATTGCGCAGGACTGCCCGCTCTTATCGCAGGATCCCCACCTTATTTTCCTGGGGGACTTACCAGCGCTGCCCTGACTGCAGGAAGTTCTGAGTTCGCGTTTGAGATGTTCCCCGTACGGGCCACCAGTTGTCACGTCCCTCGACCAGCAAGGAAGACACGACCCGAACTCTTCTTCCAGCAGTTTATTCAGGAGCCTCTTTCAAACTTCTACTACTGCGCCCTTCCTCTCCCCTCCCTCTTATAGCCATCAGCACACCAATCAAAAGCAGCCAAGTGGCAAGCATTGATTGGTACAGCAATGCGGAAGCCGGAAGGGAGCTCAGCCATCTCCTTATTAGGAGATGTTGTTTCTTGCCAGTCCTTCCGGGGGAAAGGAGCTGGCGCCATCTTTAGGGCGCCGTGCAATGGCTCCCCACACGGGACAGAATCCGGCGCCCCGACCGGGACTAGAACCCGTGTGCAGGCACCACAAGGCGAGGATTAGCTTAGTGAGCCACGGCGCCGGCCTTTATCAAGACTTTTATAGATCACACCACCAGTGGCAGCGCTGACTGCTGAGGAAATGGTAGCCTAGGATAGTTGGCTGTTAAGTGACATGGATTCTGCCTGCCGCACCTGACTCTTGAGAAAGAGACACAGCCCCTGCTGCAATGGGACTAGGAAAGTGGGCAGTGAATTTAAATCCATCTGGCAGTGGGGAGATGTTCCTGCCCTGGATAGCAGCAAGGCAGTAGCCACAGTTGATATTGGAAGATTCCCATAGGAATAACACTTCCAAGACAGGACCTCAAGCTGGTTCAGCAGATCAGGAAGTTCACATTTTTCTCCACAGGTGTCAACACTGTCAGAAAGTGAGGAGTCTCAGGACTTATTTGGCAGCTGAGGCTCTGCACAGAAAGCCCATTAGAGTTATGCTGGGAAGCTGGAAAACCTTGAAGAAATGGATAAATTTCTGGATACATATAACCTACCAAGATTAAATCAAGAAAATATAGACAATCTAAACAAACCCATAATAAGCAATGAGATTGACACAGTAGCCAAAGTCTTCCATCAAGGAGAAGTCTAAGACCTGATAGCTTTACTGCTGAATTCATTCAAATAATTTTTAAACTATTCCAAAATCCTGAAGAGGATGGAACTCAGCCACTCTTTTATGAGGCTAGCATCAATCTGATACCAAAACCAATGATACAACACAAAAGAAATCTACAGACCTAAATCCTGAATGAACATAGATGCAAAGATTCTCAACAAAATATAAGCAAGCCAAAGATTTTAACAATTTGCCCTCTTCTATATATAAAGTCATACTAAAAATAATCTATAATGAAGAAGGAGATGGAAAAAAGAATGGGAGGTGGGAAGGGAGTGGAGTGGGGGGCACGGGGGAAAGAACCACTGTATCCTAAAGTTGTATCTATGTAAAAATGCATACATTAAATAAAAAAAATCATTCAATATGATCTCATTAAAGTCAAGGACTCTTATATTGAGAGAGCTGGCTGGTTGGGTTGTTAGGTAAAAGGAACATACTTTAATAGCCACAGGAAAAAATATAAGCAAGTCAAATATAAACAATATCAAAAAGATCATATATGATGATCAAGTGGAATTTATCCTAGAAATGCAAGGGTGGTTCAACATTTGCAAATCAATAAGTATCATAAATCACATCAATATAATGAGGAATAAAATGACATGGTCATCTCAATAGATGCAGAGAGAGCATTTGATAAGATTCAATACACTTTCATGATAAAAACCCTCCATAAATCAGATAGAGAAGAAACATACTCAAAATTATAAAGGTTTATATGCCAAACCAACAGCCAATATCATGCTGAATGGGAAAACATTGAAAGTGTTTTCTCTCAGATCTGAAACACGACAAAGGTGTCCAGTTTCACCACTCTTATTCAAAATAATACTGGAAGTTTTAGCAAGAGCAATTAGGGAGTAGGAAGAAAGAAAGAGTATCAAAATTGGAAAAAGGTAAGTCAAATTATTCTTGTAGATGACATGATATTGCACATGGAAAACTACACTCCACCCAACAAAGCTGTTAGAATAGATAAACCAATTCATTGAAATTGCAGGTTACAAAATAAATATACAAAATGCTGTAGATTTTTCATATGCTATCATGAATTCACTGAAAGAGAAATCAAGAAAAAGAATCCCATTCACAATGGCCACCAAAAAATTAAATATTTATGAATAAATTTAACCAAGGAAGTAAAAGATCTCTACAATGAAAGTATCAAACATTGATGAAAGAAATCAACAAGGACCCCCATGAAATGGAAAGATATCCCTTGCTCATGGATTGGAAGAATGATTATCATTAAACTGTCCATAGGGGCTGGCACTGTGGCATAGTGGGTAAAACTACCACCTGCAGGGATGGCACACTATTGGGCAGCAGTTTGAGTCCCAACTGCTCTACTTCTGATACAGCTCTCAGCTATGGCCTGGGAAAGCAGTAGAAGGTGGTCCAAGGGCTTTGACCCCTGAACCCACATGGGATACCTGGAAGAAGCTCCAGTCTCCTAGCTTTGGATCAGTCCAGCTCCAACCATTGTAGTCATTTAGGGGTTAAACCAGTGGATGGTAGACCTATCTCTCTCTCTCTCCCTCTCTCCCTCTCTCCCTCTCTCTCTCTCCCCCCTGCCTCTGTAACTCTGCCTTTCAAATGAATAATCTTAAAATAAAATAAAATATAATGTCTATACTACCTAAAATAACCTACAGATTCAATGCAATCCCTATCAAAATATCAACAACATTCTCTTATAGAATTAGGAAAAAACAATCCTAAAATTCACATGGAATCACAAAAGACCTAGAATAGCCAAAGTGATCCTAAGTAAGAAAAATCAAGCTGGAAGCATCACAATACCTGATTTCAATGCATAGTACAATTACTAGTATT